TGTACCTGTTTGCGCGCTTTAATGTCATGTTTGTTAACTGCTTTTTCACACAATCTGAATCTGACACCTCAAGGCTGGCTTGCTTCCCGGGGTCACCTAATCTAAAGAAAAAGGGGGAATTGTAGAGGAATGGTTAGAGAGGCGCGGACATGGCTGCCCAGCAGGCCTGCTCAATTCCAGCCTTCAGGTTTCAGTGAAAGAACAAAGGGACTGCTAACTAGGAGATAAGGAAGTAGACCAAGGTCAGAGGGAATAAAAGAGCTGTTGAACTAAAAGGATGAGCTAAACAAGTAAGATATAATTCTTTTGTAGCTGGAGATAAAGATCTAGAAAAATGAAATTTTCATTTTAAATTGTTGAAGGTTGTTTCATCAAACGGAACTGCACCTAAGTACACTTTCACTTAGTATACTTAGAAAATTAAATACCCCCCACATATGCTTTAATAGCAACTTTTATTTGTTTGATGTCCTTATGTTGGAATAATAATATTTTGTTGTAGAGATTACTTACTACTTCACAGTTCAAAATTTATGGCATTGCCCGTGTTTGATTGTTGGCATGTTTCTAAATTTTGACTGAATATTCAAGGAATCTGATACTGTTATTTGGCTTTTATTTGAGATTAGCTGTTAGCAAAATGGAAGTGAAATGCTGGCTAGAGTAACTCTGGGTTGACATTAAAGTTGTTTCACTGTGGTTTTTTTGGATCTTAAAGATCAGAAAACAAAATTACAAAGTTACCTTTTATAGTCAGATTTTAAAATGCAGCATGATTTTTTTTTTAAAATCATTAGTGTTTTATATCCTACCGATGTTCTTAAAGAAAAGCAATATTTGTTAAGCAAGAACAGGTAGTCCTGCAAAGATACTGTATTTCCTAATATTAATTCAGTAATGATAAAATGATGCTCTATTAATTTATATGTTTTGACTTAGTACAGAGATTTTATTTTATTGCTGTTTATTGCTTGTATCCTTGTTTTAGGCATGTTATTAAACCTGAGCAGCATTTGGTTCTTTAAAAGGATTTGCAAGTACTAAATTATGAGCTTACTGTGGAATTGAATACAATCAGGTAGTTGTCAGTAATGTAGCCCTCTTCTGTTTGCTTAATGCACACAGAAGAGAGGTAAAAAAGCGTTTTGCCAAATATCAGCAGTTCTCAGTGTCCGCTTTCCCAGCAATGGCCTTCAGCTTTCTGCCATTATCTTGGCTGCTACCCGAATAACGGTCCTTGCACTGCGAGCTGGCAGCGCTACACTGGAGAGCAGTAGGAAGTGATCACGTTTATTTTCTTAAAATTATTGCAGTCTTGGGTAGTGCCAGTGTACAAGCTGAAACGCAGCTTCATCTTGACATGTTTCAGGAAGGCTTAGCTCATTCGCATATATATTTAATTATGTATTTTTTCAAGTTGCAGTGTTGAATTTGATTATTTATTCTGTTTTTGTTTATTTGGGGGCTTTTAATTAATTTGGTTCTAAGCCTTTAAGCCGAGTTTTTCAACATTGCTCCATTACAAAGATAATGTATTCTGCTTGAAAGCTGAGGTAGATTAGTGTCACTGATAGCAAACTCGTGTAGGTTTCTCTAGGGTAGCATAAGTTATGGTGAGATACTGCTGCCCATTCCTTCACACAAAAACGTATCAAAGCAACTGATTATTTTACCCAGCTGGAAATAATGAATGCTTACATGACATTAAAGATGATGCAAAAGTACAATAAAGATACAAGTGCAGTACATGGTGCAGAACTAGGCTGTTCATTGATTTGTGCTCAAGAGAAATCCCAAGGTTCATTTATTTAATTTTCAGAAAATTTATGTTTTTATATTTCCTAAGTTCAAAGGAAAAAATAATCAGTGATTTTTACATATTCAGTTCACCACATAAGGTCAGAAATGCTCAGCTTTCATGCGAGTGCTTTTATCTGAAGGTATATGCAAGACCAGGATCACTGATTTGTATGAATAGGGAGAAATTATTTTAAGAAGCAACATTTCTTAGGTGCAGTATACATTTAAATCATGTAATTTTGAGTATTGTAAGTTAAAATTGCCTTCCCAAATTCTACTTCTTTGGAATAGGGACTTTTTAATAATGGATAAAACCTCAATTTTTTGCTGCCAGTATTGATAAGATAGTTTTTGTACGTGGGCTGCCAAGTCCGTTGTCATTGCTTTGCTGGTTTGATTTTAAAATGTGACTAAAAGTAAAAGCAGGTGTCTGATCTTAAACCTTTCACTCTGTTTTGCATATGTTCTGGAGATTAGACAATAAATGGAATTTCTTGTATAATGGAGTGCGTGTCTGAAAGGGTCCTCATTGATAATTAGCCTGGGAGAGTCCACACGCACAAAAATGAAACCAGTATGAAATGAAACCATGTTTCCACAAAAGGCCACGAAGCTGTTCACACTGTCCTGCAACACATCCAAGACCTTTGACGTACTAACTTGAAAGCAGTATAAACTGGTGCGTCAAGGAAATGAAGCAAAAAGAGCAATAGGCTTCTGGATCTCACAACAGCAGAGAATTTTTTTAGGTTCAAAATAAACTGAGCTGAAGAGGTGTTACCCTTTTTCACACTGAGGTCTGGTCCTTTTATATCACTCTCGCTTGTGAAAGTAGAGCAATTTTTTAAATCCCAAGATGGATACTCATTTCATTGACCCTTGGTTTGTTTTCTGGTTCACAGTGATGAGGCTAACCAAGCCTACTTTATTCACTAATATTCCGGTGACTTGTGAAGAGAGAGATTTGCCAGGTATGTCTTCTCTACGGGTTGTTGTCTGCATATTAGCAGATCTGTGCCATGTGAGCATCTGTGGTTGAGATGCCAACAAGAACCCATCTCCCGTAGTTTATAATCTGAAATGATATGTGTTATATGAAAGAAATACTCCTTTGGTAGTAGCTATAGGTGCTCCTCTAAAGCCCTTCACCTACAACTTTGAAAACTCGGTGGGTGTACTGTAAACATACAACGTCAAAATTTCAGTGATAAGACTTAATATTCCTGTAAAATATGGGCACGGTGGGTGGCATGTATGTGATTTAGCATGGATAGCAAGTCTAAGCTAGACAAATGCACAGACAAGAGTTTGGCCTTAGTTATCTTCATCTGGAGAAAATGGCCTGGCTAGTTAGAACTGATACATTAATTTTCAGACTATGGAAAATGATTTTGCAAGAATCCTTGCTAAACACTTTATGCTTGGTATATAGAGAGCTGTTAAATGGGGTGTTCATGGGTTATTTCTGAGTAGTAGATACAGTCTAGATGTCAAGTGTAAGAAAGAGGCAAGGCATGAAACAAGGGAAGAGAATTCTGTTCAAATACAAAGCAAACAAGGAAAAAACTTAAGTAGGAATGGCTAATTCTCTTGAGTTGCATTTTTTACAAGCAGAATTTGCCTTAAAAGCTCAATGTTAATTTCAACAACACCTTTGGGCTGGGATTTTCAACATGTGTACAGAGTGCTTTTTTTGGCAGAGATGCCTGAAAATAAGTTAAAATTTATAAGCAGGCATATAGAGCTCTTCTTCTGCAATCAGTTTATTTAGGCCTAGATGTAAATATGTCTAAAATAAATTGCATCGAAATAAGTAGTTAAATCTTAGAACTTATGTGTGAACATGACTCTAGACTTGGAGATATTTTGATTTTAACAATTTCATTTTTCTACAGGTAATCTATTTAACCAGCTCATGAAAGATGATCCTTCTACTGTAACTGGAGCAGAAACTTTGATGCTAGGAGAAATGCTTACTTTGCCTCAAAATTTTGGGTAAGAACAACTTAATATAACTGCAACATACAATATACCAGGTTTGCAATTCATTTGTGCTTTTTACTCTTTATGAACACAGAGTGAAGAAATACAGTATAGAGTAATACAGTGAAGTGCTCAGTGGTGGTTTTTTTTTTTAAAGACTTTTGAAAACTTCTCTTTCTTAATTTGCTGCATGAAGTAGATATAAACCTATTCTGGATAGTGTGTGTTGTCTCTACCTTGACTGTGTCTATAATGGGAACTGAAAGTTTAGAGAAATTTGTGACTGTGAGTCAATTTTTACAGTGCAGTTTTACAGAAGGATCATTACAGTGCTATAAACTGCAGTTCTAACCAACAAGATGTACTCCAGCAATTTTAGTGGCTATTGAAAGCCATCTTATTCTGTTCAGGTTTGTTTAGTAAAGCTTTCAGATATGTTGTTTCTCTTTTGAAATTGTTTCTCTTGGAAGTTTGAAGTTTAGCAGTACAGATGTGAAATTGCCAGTGTAACTTAGGACTCGAGAGCAATCTCTTAAGCTATTCTCATACTTAACTCTTAAGAGGAAATATGTTGTCTTGCGAACATTGGAAAAAGAAGAAAAGAGCAAGGTTTTGACTAGGTGTGCTCTCAGTGCAGTATAGTTTACTGTGACTTCTATGCAATTCTCTTTCGTGGCCCTTCTAGGCTACCTCTATGTAGTTTTTTAAGAACTGAAGTGGGTAATTAGTGTAGACAAAGTTCCTGAAATTGAACTTAAAGAGGTTTTAGTGGAATGTTCTTTGTTGTTTGTTTAATAATAGTTGTTAAATATACTTAAATATATTCTTTTTTTTTTAAACAGAAATATATTTCTAGGAGAGACATTTTCCAGTTACATCAGTGTACATAATGATAGTAATCAAATGGTCAAGGATATATTGGTAAAGGTATGTGAAAATACATCTACTTGGTAGATTATAAAAAATGTATTGGGTATATTTTCTGACAGTATCTAGTGCAATTAGCACTGATGCATAGAGTTTAGGCAATATCTGCCAGTTTTTTTCCAATCCAGAAAATACTGCTAGAAACAAAAAGATATAAAAATAGAAAGGATTATAACAATCTTCAGCCATTAAAAAAAGAAATAGAGATTGTATCAAAAAAAATTAATAGGCTTAAAGCTTCTTTACAGAATGTGTGTGGCAGAACGTGCATAGCCAAAGAAAATTGCCCAAGCTGTATTCTTTAGTGGTTGCACTTTCAATGATATAATCAGAGCAAGTCTCTGTAAAATACATATTGATTTATATTTTAGTTGTATTTCAAATGAGTTCAAATAGTTTTTGTGGGTTTTTGGGGGTGAAAATAATGCGTTGAGAACAGAAATTCTACAAATGTTTCACATTGTGGAATTCAAAAGTAAGTGGAGGTTTTGTGAGCTGCATGTTAGAGGGATTGAATTCTTTATGTATATTTTAAAATTTTTCTTTAACATTATCAGGTTGCACATTTAAGTTGTTTCATGTGTGTGAAAGCATACAGGGTGCATATTAGTCCATGAAATCTAGTGCTTTTCAAAACCAAGTTGTTTTTCTTCACAGAGTACTTTATGTAGCTGCGTTTATAACCAGTGCTTTGTTTTTCTATTCCCAGGCTGATCTTCAGACAAGTTCTCAGCGCTTGAATCTTTCAGCTTCTAGTGCGGCAGTGGCAGAACTCAAACCAGACTGTTGTATTGATGATGTGATTCATCATGAAGTAAAGGAAATAGGAACACACATGTAATATCATTAAATCTTCTAACTTGCATTTTTCTATGATTTTTTAAATCATTACATATAATCAAGCTTAAATTAAACTGCAGCACATGCATACTAAACTGTTTCTACTTTGATAGAGGCATACAGTCTAGTTCTAAAATCATTTTAAAATCTTTTTATTTCAGCTTAGTTTGTGCAGTAAGTTACACTACACAGATGGGAGAAAAGATGTACTTCAGAAAGTTCTTCAAATTCCAGGTATTGTACAGAAGAATGTGTTATGCTTGTAATAAGAGGCTGGGTTTGGAAAACTGGCATTTTTAAAGCAGTTGATGCTTCTAAAGTACTTTTACGTACATAATGTATTTGACTTTGAAACCTGAATCAGTGAAATAAGTATTGCTTCAAACTTAACATGAACTAATGACTTCTAATTAGTGTGTGTTTTTTGGAACTACTAAATATTATTCTCATTTCATTGTTTGGAAAAGAAAAAGCAGTGTTATCAAAAATTTACTTTCATAGTGGCAGCCTTTTTTGTTTGTTTTTTTTTTTTACAGAAAATATATTATCCATTTTAATTCAGACAGATTTAATTTTTGAGTTCAGGATTTTGAAATTCTGTTTTTCTTTTAGTGTAACCTTTTTTTAATGGAACTTAGTGATTTGTTTGTTTTAAAAAAATCTAGGAAAACAAGTCTAAAGTGTTATATCTTACTAATAACCATGCAAATAATTGATAGAGTTGAAACCTCTTGTTCTACGTGCAGATTCTGAAACTCAGTTAAAATAATTGATGAAAGCAAGAAATTACCTTTCTCTAGACAGTGAATTACTCTCTGTAGACTAATTCTAGCATAAAACAGTATGTTTTAGGCATAGACTTAAAGAATGTTTTCTGAGATATGTGGTGAGACTTGGAGGATTGTGGAACTTTTTCCAGAGAAAGAAGGATCATTAAACATGCTCTGCTGAATATGTTTTGAGATACTCTTGTAGTGTTTCTAGCAGTACAGGAGCATTGTGACACTTAGACTTTTATCTTGTTTGTCGACGCGGGAATCTCGGACACCACGGACACGATCAATGTGATCAAGCAGTGCCAGTTTATTCAGAGTTCCAATCGCGCTTATATGCAAGGCTTCCCCGAACACGCGAGCGCTTCTTTACAAGGATTGGTTAAGACCCTGCGTCCACGAGTCTAACTACACAGTGTGATAGGCTAACTAGCAGTGTCCGTCCTCACGTTTAACAAGTGTCCCCCTCTAGTTGTTTGTCTCAGCTCTTTGACTCCTTATCTGACTCTTGGCCGATCTCCTTATCCCTTAGTTAGCAGTCCTTCCGCCCTTTCAGCTAGACCTGGCGCCCTTCTGCCCTTTCATCTAGGTCTGGCGCCCTTCTGCCCTTATCTGGCTTGCTCACAGCATGACCACTGGCCTTCAGGAATCCCACACTTGTTCAAGTTACAGATTATTTTATTTTGCTTTTCCAGTCTTACATTAAATCTAGCTACTTTATATTTCTAGAAAAGTACCTCAGTTTTGGAAGATGAAAGTGCTGTATGCCACAAAGATTAGTAGAGTGATTAGTCCTTGCGGGCCTTGAGATGGCAGCTGCCAATTAGACAAGATGTTTCCGTATGATCCTCAGGAGATGATCCCTCCCTATTTTTGTGTCATACTCTCCTCTAGACTCTGTTCTGTTTCATCTTTGTTTAAGCTGATTTTCATCTTTTTTTTTTTTTCTTATTCGCCTTGGAAAATTATTTCCCTTGTCCTAAATTTCTCCCTTTTTGTGCCCAGATGTTTAGCAATCAATCTATTTGTTGGCTGTAAGCTCTCTTTTGTTGTGCCCATGTACTCATCTATAAGCTCCCAGTTCTGATCTTCTCTCCCTCTCCGAGCCCTGTTCAAATGTGTGGACTTGCCTCCTTTATTGCATTTAATAGGGGTATTAATGCATACAAGGTTTTCAAAGATCCTCATGCAGATGCTAATTGCCATTTTATAACTTAATCAAAGTTTACCTTTGATTGCATCAATGTGCACCTTTAATGGCAGGACTGAAACAACTAAGGCCATTTGTCTGTCAAATTTCAAACTCTTCTTCCAAAGAATGAAGCACAAGAGTCTCTCAAAAATAATATATATCCTTTAATTCTGATATAGAAATAATCTTTGAACTGTTATCAGAAAAATCCTTAGCTGAACAATTTTGGTTTCTATTTTTAAAAGTTTAACATGAGATGTGGAGACCCAGCCAGGAACAACAACAAAAAAAATGAACAGAGTCTTCATAATGGGAGTTGATGACTGCTGTTGTAGTGATAGATGTGCCACCAGGTACTTTAATAGCCTTAAAAAAAATCTGTTTGACAGATACTCATGTTTTTCCATTATGTTTTTCGGAGTCTTTTAAATTGAAATATGTTACAGTTTGTTTTCAAACAGCTTATTTTTCAACCATATATATGTTTTTATAATGGCCAATAGTGTATTTTTATTCCAAAAATTCCTCTAAATAATTAATGGTGTTTGGAGAAGAAATGAAATTGTGTAGGTAGTTGTTTGTTTGTTTGTTTGTTTGTTTTTGTGAACCTAACAATAATTATTTGATTTTTAATGGTGATCATTGAAATTTACTGGAATTAATTGAAACACAGTTTGTCAGATTAAAGGCAAGAAGTAGAAAATATCAGAATGTAGGGAGATTAATAAGGAACTGACTGAAGAAAAATACTTTTAAAAAACTTAATACATTGATACTTTATTTTTTCCCCAACTGAAGAGAGTGAGTTATGATTACTTGAAAAAATTGAACTTTGTGCCTATTACCATGCAAAATGCTCTCCAAAGGATCTTTTTTTTAAAAAAAAAACTTTGATGAGGCTAAAAGTTCTATTCACAGCCCTCAACTGTGTACTGCGTCCTAATTGACCCCTACTTGCATAGAAACTGATGAAAACGTTTTTTATGTAAAGCAAGATAGTCATCTTGAGCAAGACGATTTAAATTCCTTTCCTGACAAGTGTAAGAGAAGATATTTCTTTCAGTTATATCAATCTGTATCTGTTTCACAATGGCTGTATTAACTATTTTGAGTTAACTGTAGTGGAAAGCAGTTGCAAATCTAACTTGTTTTCATTCCATTCAGGTTCTTAAACCACTAGATGTGAAGACTAAATTCTACAATGCTGAGGTAAGTGAGAACTGTTTGTGTTTGAATTTGCTTGGGTGTGTGTATTTTTGCTGGTTTGGGACTTTTTACTTTGATTTAGATAATTGCTAGGTTAAATTTAGAGAGCTTCTTAAATGCAGAATTTCTGAGTTTCTTAGAAATGCAATGTTCTCCAAAGTAAAAACATAGTTGATGGTTTATGTATCATGTATTAAAAAAAAAAGTGATATCATTTATTTCCATATATGTTTTAGGCATCAGAAGTCCCTCTCATTGTCTTTTTTCATAAATGAATAGAAGGGACGAGATGATATGCAAGGCAGACATGTCAGAACCTTAATGCAGTTGACTGAAAACTTTGCATATTTACTGCTTCCCAATGAACACGAAATATTTTCAATTACAGCTTTCATTCTTAGGGTGATTGAAGTATATTTGACATAAGGTATACTCAAGTATACTCAAAGCAGATGATATATATTTTTTCTCTGTTGTAGATATAAACACCCTATAAAACGGCTTAATATCTAAGTTTGTGGCAGTTGCGCATAGTGTTTCAAAATTAAATGGCCTTATATATTCATTAAATATTTATATATTATATATTAATTAATTATTTGTATGGAGTTACTTAGGCATCTGTCTTTGACAACTTAAAGAGGTGGTTTTAATTGAAGGTGACACACAGTAAAAAATTTTAAATTATATCCAGGATACTTTTTATTTTTAGATTCCCTTGTGCATATGTGCATTCTATAGGTCTTCCGGAGGGTGTCAACTTTCACAATATCCCTTTAGTAGCTGGTCAGATGGAAATTAAGATATGTGTTTCCAAGATTATCATCTACTTGCTTTGTGATAATGAGCAAGTAGTATCCTGGGTGTCATGTTCTGTGTATCTGTTGCATGGAGTTTAGATTGATGCTTGCAAAACACTTAAAAGATTTTTATTATGAGTGTTAAACTTATTTCATAGCCCCAGAAGTATGGTTAACTGTTACACTACTTGCAAACTACTAGCATTTGGTTGCAAAATTTCATCAAGTGGTTTGATTGGAATAATTCAGACAGTATGTGTCAAGCTAAGTAGCAAGTGTTTTGCTATCCACTTTGTTCTTAAATAAACAGGTAATATATGCTATGAATTTACATGTAGAAAAGGAGAAAATCTCAAAATCTTTCTATTCTAATTATTTGTCTTCATCATAGTCACAGGTGTACGATTCCTCCTGCAAGATTATGACTATTCAAGAATAAAACATGTGTTTATTTCCTTTGCATAAGGAAACAGGCAGAGGGAAGAAATATCATGATAATTCCTAGTCTATAAATAAGGATCTACAGTGCCAAGATCTGTCTTGTCCAGAGTTGTTCAGGAGGCTCCCTATAAAGATTTTTCCTCTGCTGAAAATGAGTATAATGTAAATTATAAATGTACATATGTGCATTTAATTTATAGCTTGTAATTCATTTAGAGGGAAGAAAAATCAAGGCTTAGGGCATGGCTCCCATTACCAAAGTGTCCACAGAATTCATCACAAATGTTTTTTGTGATTGCAGCTGACATTAACCGGGCGGTTTTCTCTTGCTTCGCACCCTGGTATATTGCCATTATGATTTTAGTGAAAAATCCTTGATTAGATGCAGTTTGTAATACCACTTTTCTAGCAGAAGCACCCGGACCTTTATTCTATATGTTAAGAAAGAACTTTGCCCTGGGGAGTAGGGGAGCAATAAACATTTTATGTGTCAGTTACTGGTTAACTAAAAATCTGTAAAAATCGATTAATCAGTTAAATTCTTTCCATTAATATTACAGATGTGATACTCTCTATTCACAAAGTCAGTCACTAAAACTGTGAATTATTAATTCCAGCAGAAAATTATTTCATTTTTCTTAATCAAGGAAGTAACGCTGAACCTTAATCTTCTGGCTTGTTGCTCATATTGCAGTAGCATCCAAATCAAGCTGGTCATGGAGATTAATGTGGCGAATGCATGTCCTGCCACCCTGAGCTGCTGCAACCCATCCCCAAGTTACCTGCCACAGCCAGGAGAGGGGCCTTGGCCTTTGGACCTCGGTGGGCCTTGGCCAAGGCTCTGAAGGGGGCCCTTCCTGCCGGCGCTCGGCACTCACGCACAGTTGAGAAAGTGAAGTTTGTGATTGCTGTTGGTGTTTTTGAGGGATCTGTTCAACAAAGAGTTTTTTCCTATTATGTTATACCAAATTGTGTCGTAAGCTGCAGTATTGTAGCTTTTCAGGAACACATTGCTTTCATTTTTACACTGTATATGGATAATTGAAGAATGAGAAGGGCTGCTTTTTTTTCTATTTCATTTACAATCCATTGCATGGATTTAAATTTAGGGCAAACTTTAAACTTGCTCAGAAACTAACAGCTAATTTTTTGGATCAGTTTATTCTCCCATACCTTATCTGTGCCTTGTGTGCCTTAGGCTGTATTTTGAATTGGTTCTGTAGCGGTTAGTAAACCCCGAAGCCAAACTAGTAAACCATATAACAATACTAGCCATATCTTATTAGAAATGTAGTTGTCATCTTTGTTTTCATCCATTTTTGTTTACATTTCTGTCTTACTAATGCTATCTTGTTTAGATGGTGCAAAAAAATGCAGAAATGCATTTTGTTTGGAAGTTAGCCTCCTTTTTCTTTAACATTTAACCTAATTTCTCTAATGTGTTCTTTTTTATTTTCCCATTAGAGTGACCTCAGTTCTGTGGTAATTTTTATTTATTTATTTATAAATATGTATGCTTTTTTAATTGTCTATCTGTCTCCTTGCTTCTTGTTAATATTATTTTAAAAACATAATGGAAAAGCAATGTTTGTTCTGCTTGTCATGAACTGATGTTTTCCCATCCATCTTTTTATGTGCAGCTAATTATCTAAATGATTAACTCTTTCTTTAATACCCACTGTTGCTACTAAAAGTTGATTATTTCAAACTTGTAGTCATGTGGGCCATTTTATTTAAAAAAAAATGAAATTTTACTAGATATTTTTAACTGGGCCGAGGGAATTTTGCAAGTTATTACAACTGAGCTAATTATTTTCCAAATTGTCTTTTTCGGAGCACTGAAATGTAGGTTAAACTACCAGATTGCTTCTATAGGCTGTGGCAGGACTTTGCATATCTACTTGGTGGAGACATTGGGTTTGAGGAGAGAGCAGCAGTTTTATTTTCTATCTTCCTTTTGCTACTTCAGACTGTGCTTTCAAACTTCTAAGTGCATGTAGCACCTGATAACCTAGTATGATACTTTTGTGGACTGATTTTCCCTTAAGGTGTGCATTGTATTAAAATGAATTACATTCTTGTAAAATACTGAACGTTTTTTTCATATTATTATTAAAACAAGTTCGGGAATAATATGAAACTAACTTGCTTTTTCATTATGCTGCTTGTTTTATCTTTCCCCTTTCAAATTAGCTCTTCCTAAATTTCTGCTATTGGCTGCTGCATTGAAAACAGCTAAAATAGGGGTAAATCAAGATTTTGAGCAATGGATTTATGGGATATAAACAGTGTGCATTCAAGTGAGAGTCAAAAATGATTGTAGTGATTGCACCAGTACTGTTTTATTTAGGAGAGCTGTGTTTTATTTCCAACTTGCTCTTCAAGGGCGAGGTCTCTCGGTAACCCACGGAGCTTGGGAAGTTTCCACATCTGTCTGTATGCTGTGGGCTAGGCGGCGGGTAACAGGAGAGGCACAAGGAATAGTTCCAGTGCCAGTCTGCATTTCTGCTTCTAACACAGGGCCTTTAGAGGAGAAGGCACTTCAGAATATTTTGTTCTGCTTTGTTATTTATAATTTCTGAGCAGGACTGAATTTGCTTAATGAAGTCACTATATTTACACTGATTAAAAGGAAACTGTGAGCTTTGTTCTTCCCTTGCCATAAAATACATTCTTTGGCTTTATCCTAATGAAGTACCTAAGCTGTCATATTAATTTGTTGATAACTCTCTTGCAGGTGCAAATTTGGTACTTAAATCATTCTTATTTAAATTGGTGCTTTTTTTTGTTTGTTTTTCTCTTCTACTTCTCCAGGAGCTTGTATTTCTGGTAGACTGAGCCTTCAATAATTAATTCTCCTGGAGATTTTAGAGATAATTCTACAGAGAAAAAGGAGACAAAAATAACATTACTTTTATGTTTTTAGCTGCTGACATTTAAACACTCTATAGCTTTCCTTCCTGTTCTAGAATTGGTCCTTATATCCCAGCTTCAGGCGTTAGTTTCATTTAACAGATATGTCTTAGTGGGTATTTTGAAGGTAGAGCATCAGTTAAATTGATGGATGCACCTAGTACTGGTAAACATTGGCATGATGATGCAGCTGAGCACGAGAGGAGACTGATTTGCTGTTTAGGCAGTACATCAATGTTCCAGAACAGTAACAGCATCTCAGAGCATGTACCCAACTGTTACACCTGAGTTCAACAAACACGCACCTTTGTATTTTATTTTTTCCATAGCTTGATGCACTAGTAACTTGGCATGGCATGGCATTAATGTGCACTGCAATTCTTTACCCTTCATTCTATTATCTTTTGGATTCGTTTTATTAATAATTTGGATAAAACTTGAGTTGCTGCTGAAGTGATGAAAGCCTTGGGAAGTGGTGACATAAAGCTTTATAAAGCAATAGCTAGAGTGTAGCGAAGTTATCCCACATCCATTGTTTTGCAAGGTATCTGTTGACTAACACTTTTGCTCCTATTAATTATTGTTGGGATTAAGGGTTTTTTCCTGCATTAATTACTGTAATTGGATTTGCAGGCATGAACTAAACACACGTGTTTTATTTATTATCATTTTTTTAAGAAGACAGTCTAGTCTTTTTAGTAATATTAATTGTATTTTCATAAACTTGCACTTCTGTTTTTTCAGACAGATGAAGTGTTTCTGGAAGCTCAGATTCAGAATATCACCACCTCTCCAATGTTTATGGAGAAGGTTTCTTTGGAGCCATCTATTATGTACAATGTTGCAGAACTGAACACAGTAGACACCTCAGGGGAAAGGTATGTTCAGATTCAGAAAGCTGATATTTGACACTCAAACTCTTTGTATTATAATTCCGTGAGACAGAAGGATTAAAATTAGAGAGGTATCTGTAGCTGAGGGATTGCACTTCTCTTTGCTTGCTGGCAAGACAGTGGTCAAGGTGGATTGGTGAAGTGCCCTTATAGGATCTTAGAATACAGATATTTGTCACACAGGGAAATAAATTAAAATGTTATTTAACATCAGCCAGTAAATCACAAAATACCTGAAGAACCAACTGTCACCAACAGTAAACCATTATGAATGCAAAAGCTTGTGATGGCTCGATAAAGGCTCGATGCTTCACAGTTTCTAGGGTTTCTTTTTTTTCAGAGGAGGTGGAGTTTTGGTGCTGCTGTGGTGGGCTGCAGTGCAAATCCTCTCTTCTCCCTACCCATGTGCCTGTTCAGCTCTAGCCTGGTGGAGCAATGTTCTTATGAAATGCCAAATACTCATCTGCTTCTCATGTTTCTTGTCCTGAATCAGAGCATGGACTGGTGACATTGACAGAGGTTTTCTAAGATTTGCTGAGATGTAGAATGAGTTGCCATTGTATATAGAGAATTAAAGAGCGCAGTGTATGAGATGCCCCCCTGCATCGGAGGCTTACATTCCCCTTGGTGTTCACTGTCACAGTGTGGAATCTCAGCATCTGAAAAAGCCTTATTGAGGCTGGCAAGGAGGAGATTAAAGAACAATGTGGTGGAAAAAAGCTCCAAACTAAGGGTTGCTGAAGATATTGGGTGACCTGTTAGCCTTGAAGGCTAAGGTCTGTGGTTCGATCTAACGAAAAAGGCTATGGCGATTTTAGAAAATAGTAGCATGGTTCTTGTCAGAAGTATATAAAATGTTTTTTATCATGAATAAAGTATCACAAAGGTAGTAAATCACAGGAGAAGGTTACATTTTTTTATGTCTTCTTAAAAATTACTTTAAAAAAAGTTTCCTGGATTTTCTTTTTTTTTTTTTTTTTAAGAGCATCTACTTTTGGCTCAAGGACTTATTTACAGCCTATGGATACACATCAGTATTTATCCTGCCTAAAGCCAAAGCAAGAATTTGCAGAGAAAGCTGGAGTAATAAAAGGTGTAACAGTAATTGGGAAACTAGACATCGTATGGAAAACGAATCTGGGTGAACGAGGAAGGTTGCAAACTAGCCAGCTCCAAAGAATGGTAAGTTTTTAACTTGGGCATCCATTTAAATTAGTCTGGCATTTGAGTGCCAGAGTCAAGAAATCTGTGTAACAAAAAATGTTGATTAGAAGAAAATTGACTTGCTGAATGGCATCTGGAAGCAAACTGAGGAAGACCAACAAAAGAGCTTCTTTAAATGTGTTAACTTGACACAAAACTCTGCTGCCTCCTGATTCACGGACTTACATGAGCATCTTTGAACAAAACAATATTTATGCACAGTATAGTATTATTTATCTCTCAGATACACAGTTTTCAGTTAAATCTATTCTCATCTCATTGATTTATAGATTGTTCACAGGCTGTAAGTTTTAAGTTGCTTGACTTGCATCATCTTGTGAAAGATAGTGAAAGAGAGGAAACAAGAAAAATTGTTGTGATGATTGCAACTTAGGTGACACAACTAGCAATTGGGTTCTGTCTCTTGGCATCCTCTTGCTCTTGGTCTTTCTTTTCCCTCTAGGTTGACTAGAAAATTGCACA